TGGCACCACATCAACGCGCGACCCATGTTCTTCCACTGTTTTATCTCCCGAGCATCCAGAACCTATCAGTATCTATAGGCAACCCGGTAGAATTTACCTGGCCTTGTTCGCATCCGCCAGCCCCCTGATCGATATTGTCATTAGATATCTACCGGCTGCGCGAGTCACGCATCGGCCCCGTCCTCTCGGTTCTAAAAGGACTCCAAAGGCTGCATTGGCACTGGTCTTACCAGCCAGATCTTGACGAGGAGGTCAGTAAAGGCGTGTTTGACCTCGACGCGGCAGCAAAAGCATTGACTGAAGTTGGTGATGCGCTCACCGACTTGACTATTGGTGCCATGACACGCCCCAGGATATCGGTCGGGGATTACGACCGTCCTCCGCTGGAGTGCGGGGGATCGCTGGATTGAATTTCGCGCTTGAGTAAACTTAAGAAATTATGTCTCCCATGGGTCCTCTTGATGGGGTTCTCGAAATCACAGGCTAAGAAAATCCTGAGTGCGCTTCCTTTAAGCCCTGAGTTGCTTGAGCTAAGTGGCCGTGAGGAACGGGAATGGCATAAGGACGACTCTAATATAAACGCGATAAAACTAGAGCTTGCAAGTCCAGCCTCATCGCGCTACATTTGCTTGCGTCGCATTGTTCTGCCTATTCCTTCAGAGTTCAGCGAAATGACTGATGAGCGGCAAAAGGAGCTATTGCGGGACTCGAGTTGGGGTGAATTGAGGAGTTGGAAGATTGGCAGCAATAGCCTGACAGGTATTCAGTCTCCAACATTTCGGTTCTCCTGCAGGTAGTCAGCACCAAGTGACAATTTCACCCGGTTACTGCTGCCCTACGATAATATATGTTCTCGCAACCGCTTCCTATTTCCGCGGCGTGATGGTATACGGTCGCCTCGACGCATCTCCGGTTGGAACAGAGAGCAGGGACTTGACCGATATGTACAGATTCCATGAGGACTTGTCGTTTCAGATGGCATATTCCTTGGCCTTAAATGTCGCCCAACTACTTTCCAAGCAAGGCAAGTAAACGTGTTCAGCGAATGCGAGGCTAACCAACAGGAGAGAGCATCATTGCCATTTGCAGCATCTCACTGCAAAGCGCCCAATCAATACTCCTTTCGTTGTTCTTACTTCAGCAAACTCCTTTAATTTCTCAATATGCACTTCATGAACGACTTTGGCGTGAACCCTAGCCTTTCCAAACGTTCGGTCGCGTCTCCAATCAGCATAATCCGTGTCATATCCACAAGAAATCCATCCACGGACTCCTCGCCCTGAACAGGATCAGGGTCCTGTTCTTTCACGTACATGCCCTTCCCATCTCTCCAAATCGGCGCGCCTGGCGCATCCGCAACGTTTCCCTGCCGCCCTATCTCCCCACCAGCGCGGGAGTTATGTGCCATGCGGACGGCAGTGCTGACGGCTACGTCCGTTTGCATCCCTGCAGTTAAAAGAGACTTGATGCCTCTTTCATTGAGAAGTTTCTCCAAGGGCGAGTTGATTAACACACTATGGCCGCGCTGAGTTATGATGACTTTATCTGCCGGTGGCGCCCTCTTCTGCATCTTGGCCTCTTTCTCCGCCGCGGTCTGAGGAGGAGGCGGATCGTCAAACGTGTAGACGAATTCGAATTTCCTATGGCGGTAAACCTTACATTCGCGAGTTCTAAGAAGTCTATACCACGCTTTTGCTTGCCGTTGGCACCGTAGGGTCCTGCGTGAGAAGGGTCACTGGTGCATGGGACTGTCGGTCCAGACAGATTTATGCTTGCCGTGGATAATTGATGGGCGCTGGCCACGGGGACGTGTCAACTGGTGTCAATAACGCTGCTGCAATACTTGGTAATTGGCCAATAAATTGGCGGTTACGTCCTGTGGCTGTAGCTGGTGAAGCCAACCCTCGTGTCGCAGAGCAAAATCGTACTTGGCCCCTTGCTGAGTTGGTCCTTTGTGCTCCAGCCGGTTTTATAGGTGACAGGTAGCGGACTGGGAAGCAAATGACGCCAATGAGTGGGATATACGCGGTTTCGTATAGCATCTCGCCTCTAATATGACGGCAAGCGCCTTTTATCACCTCTGAAGCTTCGGCATTTTTTGACTTGGCCCTATGAGGTGATGTGGTACTCTTAACAACTGTCTCTGGTCAAAGTCGGAGTTGATTTAGACGCTGCTTCGGCAGAACCGCCCTCTTCATGAGCTGTAGGGAGCGCCATGCATGTGCATACTTGCCAAACTCTTGTCCGTCATCGCTGAAGATGAGGTAAATTCCCGTCGGTTTCTCCACTTTTTGTCTCCTAAAGAGAATGCCTTTATTTCAAAGCTATTCATCCTAGTTCTCCTGCACTCTCATCGTTTTCTTGTCGTTCTTATCGAGATACTGCACAAAATATCCATTCCATATAAATACACACCGCTTCGAGAATCCGAGATAAGAATCCTACGCATCTTGTCACTTCCCAAAACTTCAGATAAGGCAGACGTAAACTGTAATATTTTTCACGTCAATCTGGCTGACAAACCAGCGTATAGAGCGCTACCGTATACATGGGGATGATTGACCTTGTAGACCCCATCTGAGTTAGCACGACCGTTGCATCTGGAACGTATACGTCGATATTGAAAGTGACTGCAAATTGCAAGGCTGCAATGAAAGCTCTATGCCGCGATGGAATCACTGCAGCAAGCCGAACGAACAAGCATATTCCTCGGGGAAGTCGATGGCGAACATATTCATTCATTCATGGCTTCTTACAGGCTAATAACGAGTTTTACTGACACCACCGCTGCGGGAGCACAGATGGAACAGAATTCGGAGTTGAGCATGTAGATGGCCAGCCTGATATTTAACAGTCGACAGTTCGAAAGTGATTTGAGATTCATGGAGGACATTCCGCGGCCATGGTGCGGCCGTTTAGGGACCTTGCAAGAAGTTGCGGTTGCCAAAGCTGTTTCGGTTCTGTTCAACAATACCGGGCTCTGGGATTGGGAAGAGCTTGACCGGCACCTTAGGACTACTGATACAAGCAGAAAAGCCCATGAGCCTCAGATTACCGAAGCGCTTCCTCGGATATTCGACCTGCAGAATTCTGTCAAGGAGCGCAGATTCAGTCTTCTTGAACTATTGATCGAGATGGGCCACTCAAAGCGGCTCGTTGAGAAAAGTCGGCGGCTTGATGTGTTATGCCTAGCATGAAATACCTCGCAACATCGGGTGACTGGTTTGCCTTCGTGGTTGCCGGACTTCACGATACAATTTGCACTCGTCGTCCTCAGATACCCGCAATCAGTACAAAAGGTTACAAAGAGAGAGCGTATCTACCCCCGGACAAATTCTGGCTATCTTGCTACACTAAAATATAGCTCCGATTAGACGTACTGTGCTTCGAAAGACCGGGACTTGACCTGGAACATTTGAGAATCCCCCGAGCGATGGCTGTGCTTTGAAAGTCCAGGGCTTGGTTATCGAAAAAGTCGCCATTTCCAGTGAAGTTTACGACGGCCCTCTTCATCCCGATCTCTAGAGCGAATTCGTGGCCAACCTCCTACGGAGGTCCTCGCATGGCTATCTTGGAACCTAGACCTGGCGACCATCAACAATTTACAACATTGGTCGCAGGACTCCTGTTTCGACTCATCCGCCCGGACACTCATCGCCGATACTGTTCTAAATGGGGGCCAAGCACAGCAAGGCCGAATGCACAAAGACGCAGAATGGGCCCAAACGCAGTTCCATCCCGAGGCCCAGTCCTTTGAATGGCGAAGTCAAGTCGAGGCTGGCAGGGAAATGCCCGAGCGTAACATGTTCCATAAACAGCGTGTGCACTGGACGAACGAAAGCTTGCCGTAACAGAAAATTGGCACTTGGCGCTTGTTCCGGATGACACCTTGGTCGGCGATGCCATCACTATCCTTGTAGGAGGGAATGTCCCATTTGTTTTGCGCAGCCAAGGCGATGAGTTTCGATTAGTTGGTGAATGTTATTGTCACGGCATGATGAAGGATGATTTCATCTCCGGACAAGGGATGCTGCGTATTCTCCTCATAAGTTTGTGATTGTTTAATAGAATCAACCTCCATTCGACGAGGTACAGAGTTTACTTCAGTGAATCACGACCGTGCCAAAATGTTATGCTCCAGGGTTTAGTGCTTCTGTAGGTATAATAGTCCATACTTAAGAGGACTGTTTGGATCCCCGGAATTTGCCTTTTCGAGGCTTGCGACAATATTGAAGTGCAAGAATATTTCCGCTTGAACAGTTCTCAAGGCTTCTAGATAACTTTTAGAGACCCTTGATGACATGCATGCATGTGGAATTATACATGATGGTACAGTTAGCTATTCTCGTTTTAAATAAACACATTTTTTCTACGTGAACCGCTTATCTTGATAGATTCCTCAGGTACGAGCCTCCAAATGATAGTAATTAAAAAAAACATCACGATGACGACGCAGGCGCGCTAAAGAAACTTGCTTTAAATTGCTTGATTGAAAAGTGAAGTAAGCGTTTATTTCCGATAGTATAAGCTAATATAACGCATTGATATATGTATATTTATAGTGTATAGCGCAGTTCATTGCGATTCTTTTGCGTACGACCAGTGACATGGTGTTAATTCACTGGGCCTTACCTGACGCAGTGCCTGCACAAACATTTCGAAAGGTCGAATGAAGTAGAAAACTCAGAGTCTAAAGTAGCGGAGTGAAACATCAAAGGGCAACTTGCGCTCCATTCTCTCGGTGGTTCACTCTCAATTGCCTGCTCATCCAGCGGTGGCGGAAAAGCCAATGACGACACCACACGATGGCGACCAGAGAGCGCGTCACCCTTCCATCATCGACAAGTGCGCCGCAGTATATAGGCGTCATGTTTCATACCTTCAGATGGAATTGCATCCCGTTTTTAATCTCATCAAAGTCGTATAATCAAGAACGAAATCAATTCCCATACTTCTACAGAACCTTTCACTTTAACAACATTGACATCAAACACTTCAAAATGGCCGCACCTCAAGCTGCTCATGTTGTCGAAAAAGTCATTGGCCACGATGACAATGCCATCACCGCCCAGGACGTGTCCAATTTCCCGGACGCGGGTGAAAGTGACCGAATGAATGCCTTGGTGTGGATGGGCAAGAATAAAGTCGAAATCGGTACATCCATCAACCACCCGACTTTGGGGAAGTAATCAGCCTGACAAGAATGCCACAGCCCAGGTCCCCAAGCCAAAAATCGTCGAAGACCGAGACGTCATCCTCAAAGTGACGGGCAGCACAGTATGCGGCTCCGATCTTCACCTCCTGCACGGCTCGATCCTGCAGCTCTTCAAGGGGGACATTCTCGGCCACGAATTCTGCGGCGTCGCCGAGCTCGTCGGCCGACAGGTGCACAATGTGCGAGTTGGCAAGCGATATGTGGCTTCGTTCCAGATTGCATGTGGCGACTGTTTCTACTGCAAGAAGGGGCAGTCTTCGCAATGTGAAAAGACGAATGCCAATGCCATGATCAACGCCATGTACGGGGGCAGAACCGCGGGTATGTTTGGCTATTCGCACCTTACGGGGGGGTTTGCAGGCGGGCAGGCAGAGTATGTGCGCGTGCCGTTTGGAGACGTGAATCTTCTCGAGCTGCCAGACGATGTTCCCGACGAGAAAGGTGAGTCCAACACCCCCATGACCTAGTTTGTGAAAGTAAACTGAAATGAGGAGCAGGTCTATATCTCTCTGATGTCCTGGCCACGTCCTACCATTGTGTCAAAGATACCGGCGTCCAAAAAGGAGACAGCGTAGCCATATTTGGCGCCGGTCCCGTCGGCCATATGGCTGGTGTATTTGCTCTTGACAGTGGCGCCAAGAAAATCATCTTTGTTGATACGGAGCCGCGTCTGTCATCTATCAAGACCCGGATCCCTCAAAAGTACACCTCTCAAGTTGAAGTAATTGATTTCAAAACAGTATCAAGCGGCATCACAAACTCCAAAACCGTAGTCAGCCAACTCAAGGAATTATGCGACAACCGCGGCCCAGATGTGGCGCTCGAGTGTGCAGCTGGAGAGTACGCCAAGGGCTGGCTGCACTGGTTGGAAATAGCTACGGGCGCGGAAACAGACACTAGTGAGATTGTGAATGAGATGATTGAGAGTGTTCATTCGTTTGGGCGATGTGGTATTACTGGTGTTTATGTTGGATACGTACGTTTTTTGGTCTCCTCTCTTTTCAAACCCCCCCCCCTTCTGCTATTACAGAGCTGCTATTACAGAGACTTGGGCTGACGGACCTAGACAAACCACTTTAATATTGGATCTCTGATGCAGCGCGGCATCCGATTTATCGGGAATGGTCAAGCCCCTGTTCACATGTACTGGAAAGACCTCCTAGCAGCAATTCAAAACAAGGACCTCGATCCGCTGCAAATGGTCTCTCACCGGGTTCGACTTGAGGACCTCGATAAAGTCTATTACATGTTTGACAACAAGGAGGAAAACATGCACAAAGTATTTGTTGAGACCAAGTTTTCGGCTCCTGCCGCGCAAGGCTCGCCGCCACTTACGCGATACTGATGTGGTATTCGTTTCGGCACGACGAAAAAGGTCATGATATGCCGCAGTAAACACGCAAAATGTAATCAAGTTATAGTTGTTAAGTCACTTATTTGTCAACACCCGGTTTGCGCAACCACTACCGGGGAAAGCACAAAACCCTGGGAAAAAGTAAAAATGAGTGTAACTAGGAAGGAGACTGGGGATTGGCCAATATTGCAGTTTAAGTTGCCTGTTTTGAGTGAAGCAGGGTCCACGAGAATGTAATCTGTTGAAATGTTTGCTTTGGATTCCAGTCTTCGTATCTATCGTGTAATGGGCTCAGTCCGTGTTTATTCAATAAAAGGGTGCCTCGTGTTTTGGTATTCGGCCAAGCGCAGCTATTACGGGATCTTTTTGCTCAATGACCAAACGATGAAACCCGAAAACGTCGTAACACGGTCTAATGCGACTCGTATAATACAATTGCTCACAAGAAGAAAAGATGACTCCCAAGGAAACCCCTAGCTGAAGCTGTTTACATAATATTCGTAAATGGGGATATTCATTGAATAGGCACGTCGGTTCCATCACGATGTCAGAAGCTCCCTCAATTCCAGAGACTCGACACCCTTTAGCGCGGCTTATTGAACTGCGTACAGTCAAAGCTCAAGAATCGTGTCGTCAGTAACACGTAAATATGCTGCTTTCGGCTTTCGTCATGATATCGTACGAGACCCCAATGTCAACGAGCAAGTTACTTCAAGGATAGGCAAAGCGAAGAGATCTAGAGCCGGCAATTTATTCCTTTCAAGGACCTGGCCTTTTCGAGGCCCTTCGGGGACCCTGCCAGGGGGCCGCCTGCGGCGAGCTTGGTGGCATCAACAAACGCGATACCATAAACGTAATACTATGAACAGAATATCAACTAATTGCCGAGGAGTAATTATTTTTCTTGAACTAATTAGAGGCATAATGATGCCAATATCATATCAATTCGATTGATCAAAGAAATTTCAAAAAAAAAAGGGGCTAAATGCAGGGCATCTAGTAACACTGTATTCACCATGAAGCATCGCGATGCGTCAGACACACTAGCCATGCCTATATTATATATTAAATCAAAGAGATAAAGCGGAATCTGCCTCACGTTCCGTATTCACTCACTCGGTCAACTTTTTGATCTGCTTTGCCTAATCATGGCTTTAGCTCTACGAGTTGTCTCCTATGTGGAACAGGAACATGCTAGGCTATGAAGCATATTTTTCCATTTTTATATTGTGGTAACTTTTAGAGGCTGGTTAAACCATCGCCAAATACCAGATGTGGCCCAGGCATTGAAAACTACAATCGCCCGTCCCCGAGACGGGATTTAGGTCAGTGATTGCCAGCAAGTCGGACTTGGCATCGGACGAACGACTCATGTTTAGCGCACTTATTTTCAACAGCACCAATCACATTGTACTGATGCGCCTGTGCGGTAGGTCTTCGTATACGCCTCGATGACAACGGTCGGGTAAAGGACACCATCGCAACGACCATGGAGGCGCGCCAAAAGCAGTCGCTTTAAATTACTTAGCCAGGGAGTTAGTAGGCTCTCACTCAATCAAGTACAGACTAACGTAGCTATCTAAAAAGATGAGAACCTCTCTTTCTAGAGACGGGTTCGTTCCGGGCTATGCTAGCGAGCCCTTATCGGAACATGGCACCTGTCACACAAAAAAAGAGCGTCCACGTATCTTGCGCGTGTTTTCCCCCTTACACTAACGACAGCTCCTCTATGTGGACTCAACAGGATGCGAGTCGATGGTGCGTCCAGCATTAACACAAAACCAGCACACAAAATATTCAGGTCGTCGCCGTGCACTTCGACTCCATACTACGGATTAACGCCACGATTGTTTTTGAGTGGAAGAAAACCAGCACGGAAGCCAATGTGGCGGCTGACCCGCCATCAGCCCTGGCCGGGATGAGATCCCGTCATGACAGGATCACAGGGTATGTCTGGGCGACTCAACCTCAGCCGCACAACGCCATCGCGGTATAACGGTACAGCTCTAATTATAAGCTAAATTTCACATCCTGGATTAGGCTGACAGGGCTGCATGAGCATAACTCGCAAGCCCAAATGGTCCACGACGTGAGGGCGAAGAGATTTTCGCAACAGGATGATAGCGATGGGAAGCGGTAAGAATTTAAAAGAGACCGTTTGTCCATCGGGAAGCAAATAGTCACGTCACACTTCTTGTTGTTCATTTGCTCTTGAGAATTTGTGATCGGTCTGTCTTGCCATGACCGGGATACATCTCCGTACAATGAAGAGCCTGTTTATCTTGGCAATGGTCTTGGCTCTCGGCCAAGCACTTGGTGTTTCGGGATGGGCATACTCTCTCGGTTGGTCTTGGGCTCAACACCAGTCTCGCCATTGAGAAAATACATTAACCGCAGGTACAGCGGCGAGATCCGACAACTCGATCGGCTCGAGTCGGTTCGACATGGTCGCTCGAGCACCCAGGTCCCAAAGGTGGTAAAGGCGGCCATAGTGGCGGTGATAGCAGCAGCAGCAGCGGTTCTGATTCTGGCTCTTCGTCTAGTTCGGGATCTGGTTCTGGCTCAGGCTCGGGATCATGCAGCACCTTATTCAGCTCTACAACCAACTGCCTGTCATCGGAAAAGGTCTGCGGTGACGCTTGTATCCCCTCCTCCGCCACGTGCTGCACATATGGGAGCAGTCTGTACTCGTACTATTGCTCGTCCACCGAACGCTGCGTATCGACTTCTTCTAGCAGTTTGTACAAGTGCTGCCTGTCTGCCAGTTCCTCCTGCACATCAACTTCGTTAAGCGCCAACTTATGCCACCGCCGGGACATTAAGACGCGGAACAAAACATGTGCCTCTGATGCTGTTCGTGCGGGGGTGAATGCGTTTGCGATTGTTCTGATGAGCAGCGTCTTCATTGGCGGATTTGTCTTGGGACGAACCTAGCAAGGTGGTTGAGGCGAAGTTGAAGGCTGTGATGGATGATGACGATTTACGATGTTGTAACTATGTGGAGGCCAGTTGGAGCACGGAGTAGGACAGGGATTGTCTGGTGTAAGAAAGAAGCTGGGGAATCGCCCCCTTAAACCTGGGGTTTGGAAGGGGAGATGTTGGCTGATTTGATGTTTTGAAGTGAAACACCATAATGTCCGGTGTATCCTGTTTCATGTCATGTAACATTAGCTGCCGTCTCATTACGAAAACAGGACGTAGTTTCTGGGCAAAAAAGAAAAAGAAAAAAAAGAAAAAAAGAAAAAAAGGTAATGCCATGAAAGTGCGTACTGTACCGACAATGTCTTTCTGACACTTGATTGCGTCAAGTGTAATAGGCACCGCCGTCCTCGTTCCTCATCATGCCTGTGACCGTGGCCATGGCGGGAGTGACGGGGCGGCTGAACTGCAGCTGAAGTCAGATGAAGACGTCAAGTCTGGTCAATGCCTGCCTTCGAGTTCAAGGCCTTAATCAGGCCAGAATATTGTGGGGAGCGCCTTGACCAGGGTTATTTGTCAACAGAAGTGTGACAACATCTGGAAACTCGGCCTCTTCAGAGCCCTCACGCACGGCGTCACGAAGTGTCATGGTGTGACAAGTCGTTTCTAACATCAGCTGCTGCAGCACCAGGAATTCGAATTAGTCGAGACCGTTACGAGCCGCGTCATTGATTGTGTCTGGTCTCTAGATGGGATGACGACTGGGGAATATTAACAAGGCGCGGCTCTGTGGATCATACGAAACGGGGGACTCTCAGGCTGCGTTTTCGATACGACGTCGGCATACCATTGCTGGTGATGAATGAAGAGGGAAAACCCCATGGTTCGTGGTTTTTTTTTTTTTTTTTTTTTTTTTTTTTTTTTTTTTTTTTTTTTTTTTTTTTTTTTTTTTTTTTTTTTTTTTTTTTTGCATATTCAAGTGCTATCAAGACTACCACGACGCAACATGCGCTGTTTGTGCGCACGAGTTTAGTAATGACTCTTGGTTGCCTGAGGAATTGAAATTCTCCATTAGCCAAGCAGCGGCAATTTCGCGCCTTTTGCGCAAATGAAAACCTATTTACTTATCAATCTGGCAGCCCGAATGGCGCACAGCTTCCTGTAGTCGGGGTAGCGGCAACTGCGATACGTCTCATGATTTTCGAAAGCAGAGAATGTGGATGAACCGGTTCTCACCATGTCGGGCCAGGTCGGTCCTTTGCGGCAAACCGTTGCAACTCCGCATGGCCTGCCAAAACAGCGGAGGCAAGAACTACACCAACCGCAACGCCTGCGGTGTAACGTCCAAGCCAAATCTAGGTTCGCCATTCACATTGGCTCTCTGGCTTTCCAAGCCTGCGTGGCGCCGAGCCTCCGTCAACACGTTGCGGTGCTTGGTCGGGTGCACGGCAGGAGACTTTTCGGCAATGTGGTATCTCCAAGCATCCCAACCGGACCTTGGCATGGGGGCCATCATGGCCATCTCTAGTACGTTGAATCTCCACCAGAAAAACCCCGTTTTACGCTCGGGAGAAGCAAAAAAAAATCTCTCTCTGTGCAGTTGCGCCATTGTATTACCTCGGTTGACCCGCGTTCCGTGTCTGTGCAGTGGCGAGCGGCATAACCACCTCGCTTGCCCTCGAAACGGTTCTACTTCGCAAAGGTCGCGACGGCATGTCCTGGCCGGTTGCCGTGAAAACCGCCGCCGGCATGAGCATGATATCGATGATGACCATGGAGTTGGCAGAGAATGCCGTCGACTACCACCTCACCGGGGGTCAGATTGCCATCGATTCGCCCGCCTTTTGGGTCGCCGGTGCTGTGGCCATGGCCGCGGGATTCCTCGCGCCTCTACCCTACAATTACCTCCGGCTGAAGAAGTACGGCAAGGCCTGCCACTGAGACTTTTCAATCTTGTGCCGTTGCCGTCATACTGAGTGTGGCGTCATTGCGGTGTAAAACGGTGCCAAGGCTCCTTGCCCGAACATGTCATGGCGCCATTCAGCCATAAGCATGTAGTCTACGTGTGTGATGAAGTTAGGGATTACGAAAAGAGATGAACTCTAATTTTCGTCTTTAGTAGTCGGCGCCGAGAGCGGTAGATATACACCAAGGTTGTTGTGTTGTGCTGTCAATTCGACTCTCATCATACGTGTTGGCATATGTAGGCACGTTTCACATTCGTCGCAAATGCCAAATTGGCCCCTTACATGGTATGATTTGGAAGTTTTATCATATTCCTGTTTCTCTACGTAATCCGCAGCTCCTTTTGTGCTTTGCAGCCGAAGCATAACGGAGAAGCGAGGATCATATGTCCGTAACGTCTTCTCTAACAACGTGGCTGTTTTGATCTCCCACAGTCAGTAGACGACGTCTTGGGATGGAAGGCACCGTTGAGTAAAGCTGGCTCATTCTTGCCGTCAGAGGAAACAGAACAAGGTTATCCCATCAGCTTGCCAAAGGATGTGCACCTGGGGTAGGCTGACACTCGGATGAAACGAAAGCAGCAAATGCATCTCCCTCGGCCTCCCCCCACGAGAATTTTCTTCTTCTTTTCATGTTTTGATTGGAGATCTGATAAGCCGCCCTCATGACAAAGTTCGATTTAGGAATTAGCAGCGAGAACAGCGCTGGGCGGGATTTCGGCGTCCATTCGGCTTTTGTTTTTGAGTTTGCATCCATTCAGACCACCACCACCCGGACTTTGCCGATGCATTGCGATATACACGACCCTGATGTCAAGATCCGGCACTTGGAAGATTTTTTGATAAGACGAGTCGCATAAAGCTCGGTAATGAGCACATCTAGCATGCCATTCCGATGGGCGATTTTGGTATATGCCGTTGGTAGTCCACCATGCGCAGAGTTGATCCGGAATGAGTGTAACCCTTGATACATATATTTGGAGAAGGCCTGCAGACAACTACTCAAGAGATGGTCTTGTGAGTAAGTTGATGACGATCAGCTACCTGCTCTGCAACTCTGTTCTGCATGTTCGCATATGCACAAAGACCAAACAACCCCGATTGCGTGGTGTTGAAGGTGCGAACCGCGAAATCTTAAATGATCATGTGCGTATTATCCAACACGGTAGCCAAACGACAAGGTTGGCGTTTGCCGTTTAACCGCGCAGTGGATATGTACATGGATTGACTGCATGCAACCTCGGCGGGCTGATGGCCAACTGCCGCGATTGTCCAGGACATGTAGCCAAGAAGCCGGGGATCTGGATCGAATCCAGATTCTCGGCCTTGTCCTTTCTGGGATTGTGAGGTCAATGGATGGAGGCTGGTGAAATCTGTCGCAACAAGCGAAGCCCGCATTGGAGTTTCATGAAGATCAAACTGGTTTTGCTGGCCGTCAAAGAAGCTGCGACAACACCAGCGTCTCTCACCAAGAGCTTCCAGCCTGTCGCGAGTCAACGTCGGCCCTCTCGTAGCTGGACTCGGCCGGTTTCAGGCGCAATCGGAACGTCGTACTACCGCTCAGACTAGTCAGGGAGCGCACGGTCGTGTCATGACCCCCGAGGCAAGAACTTGACAATCATTTGTCATGTACGGGGTCTGACGTACGCGGAGAACATTTTGAAGCCAAAGCGTCTCCGAGTCCCTTTGCAATACTACCAAGTGACCGCCGCCGGTGGTCCGTGGAATCGCACATCTGCCCCATCGGCAACGGCAAAGTCTATCTCGCCGTCTAAATCAGGTGGCGTCAGCCGTTGCCGCAGGCAAACCTCCGCTCAGGGTCTTGCTTGCTAACATCATGGCACACGCTGTGGTCTGGTGTGGTCGAGTCTGTTACGCATCTTATCAGTCATGCCTCATGCTAAAGTTGGAACAGGAGTTGCAGACGAGATGCGCATCAGACGGAGACTGATAAACGAGTCGAGGCCGTGAGCCTCCACATGCGAGCACACCGCATTTCCTTTTAATTACCGGCTATTACTCTAGCTGGGGACGTTTCTTCATGTTCGTGCTCATAAATTGAAAAGCATTCGTCGTTTTGAGTCTTGGTGGCTGGACCATCAACGCTCTGTATTTGTTTCTCCGTCTGTGAGGCGTCTACCCGTGAGAACACGGCCTGTGGATGTTAATACAATCATCCCCCCCTGCCGTCCGACCTCGCAGCTAGATTAAGAAAACACTGAATGGTATCCGCGCATACTGGCGATTCGTGGTCACCATGGAAGACGTGAAGCCTCAGTGCGGCAACAAGGAGGGAGGGGGACAAGACGAATACGACTTGCCTCTTCATGTGGTTGGCCTCTGTATGTACTACCACTCGCTCTCGCATCCAAGCCCGTTCGTACACTCAATCAACTAACATTGCCGTCTGCAGTCGTGGTTCTGTTCATGTCGTGTCTCGGTAATTATCCCCAACTACAAGTCCAGTATCTTGCTGTATCTAATAGCGCCCTAGGATGCGGCTTCCCCGTGGCGGCCAAAAAAATCAAATGGCTCAAGATTCCCCCCAAGGTGTTTTTTGCCTGCAAACATTTCGGCACAGGTGTTCTTATAGCAACAGCATTTGTTCATGTGAGAAGACATTTCGCACAAGATTGGAACCCAGCGCATGGACATGTTGCTAACAGTAAAGCCAGTTACTGCCCACGGCATTCCAGAGCTTGGGAGATCCCTGTCTCCCCGACTTGTTCACCAAGGACTATCCTCCTCTGCCCGGCGTCATCATGATGGGCTCTCTGTTTGTTCTTTTTGTTATCGAAATGTGGCTTAACTCCAAGACGGGCGGACACTCCCACGGCGGGCCAACGGGGGCCGGTCTTACTGATCATCATCAACATGGCGCGGGTCGGCCACAGGCACACTCGAGGGGACAGCAACACGCGCACCATCCGGCGGCTGTCTCTGGCCAGGCAATTGTTCACCAGAACCCCGCCATGGCGTCGGACCAGAAGTCACCCGTGTCGGACTACGACAGGAAGTCGTTGGGTGAGAAATCGTTTGATGATCGGACTCTTCACAATTACGACGACTACGAGAGGGGCCGCAGGCTGTCGACAATGCCTGCCTGGTTCGTCGCCTTTTATGAGCAATATGTTCGACAGCACACGGAGATTATGGATGCACTCCAATCCCCCAAGGACAGTCTCAATGCCGTAGACGAAGAGAAGGCCCAAGTCACAATCACGGAATATGCCGTGGAAGGCGAGGAGGCCGTGGACCAGACCCTCTTGAAGAAAATGTCTACCAACATCACCTTGCTTGAGGGAGGTATCTTATTTCACTCTGTTTTCGTGGGCATGACGGTATCCATCACAATAGAGGGTTTCGTCATTCTTCTCGTCGCCATCTCGTTTCACCAGCTGTTTGAAGGTCTCGGTCTGGGCTCCCGAATCGCAGCCGTACCATACCCCAAAACCAGCATCAGACCGTGGTTGTTGGTGTTGGCATTCGGAACTACTGCACCAATCGGACAAGCCATCGGTCTCATGACGAGAAACACCTACGACCCCGACAGTGCCTTTGGTTTGATTATCGTTGGAGTATTCAATGCAATGTAAGCTTCTCGTTGGCGCGAATATTTCCGGCTTACGCGGTTGGACTAATCGGGCACAGTTCCTCCGGGTTGTTGATCTACGCTGCGCTCGTCGACTTGCTGGCCGAGGACTTCTTGTCCCAAGAAGCAAACCAGCTCATGCGCGGAAAGGAAAAGGCCAAGGCATTTGCTTGGGTTCTCCTCGGAGGTACGTAAACAATGCGAACTACCCGTCATGTATTCCAACAAGGCTAACTGGGGTGTGACTCTGTAGCACTCGGCATGTCCATTGTGGGCGCTTTTGCTTAGGTTGGCCATTGCTGCGAAAATGACTTGACACGGGGCACGATTCGTCGTGTAAAAGAGTCAAGTTGGTTACGAATTTGATGATCCGGAGGATTTACGATCGCACGTGTGTAAGAACGCAGAGATTGACAAGTTATGGTTTGTGGAATTGACTGCGGAATGCCGGCGGCGCGGGATCTGAACACTCTGCCAGCCTTTTTTTTTTTTCGGGTGTAACTAAGAGACTACTTTTACGCGCAAGGCTTATCCTAAGGGGTCTGGTGGCTGCGTTCGGCGTAAACTAGCTTTCTTGTGCTCTTCCGAATACCCGAAGAGCTGAACTCGGGAGACCAAATCTCACCCCGCCTATTTATAGGAATCACTCGCTGTTTCTAGACTCTCTTGGAAGTCAAACATGTCTCTTCATCCAGAAGCGAAGCTGAAAAAAAAAGGACAAAAAATCGATTCGGAAGCAGGACGTGACCACGCCATCGCTCTCTCGGGCTGCCGCACAAAAAAACAAAACCATGGCACTCGCTACTGCGCATCTCCGCGTAGCCAGGCCGACTGATAACGTGGACGCGCTGCTGCCCTTCTACTGCGACGGGCTGGGCTTCCAAGTTCTGCTGCGCTTCAAGGGACACGACGGTTTCAACGGGGTCATGCTGGGACACAGAAACGCCGCGTACCATCTCGAGTTCACGAGCAAGACGGGACATGAGGCGGGGACGGCCCCGACGCAGGACAACCTCCTCGTTTTCTACCTCGCGGACTCGGAGCCATATCGTGCCGCTGTTTCGAGCATGGAGAGGAGCGGGTTCAGCCCTGTGGCCAGCTTCAACCCGTACTGGGATAAATGCGGAACGACTTTTGAAGACGCGGACGGCTACAGGATTGTTTTGGCCAATATGGCAGCGCCTATTTAGCAATTTTTCACGCAAGAGTGTTGGTAGACCATGCACGAATTACTAAATACTACATGATTGAGAATGGACGAAAAGTTGCACATTGAGGTCTCGCACAAAGGAATTCGCCTGCGCCTGCGCAGAGATGCCACCGCACCTAATTATCAACCCGTTCAATCTTGCCGCTGGCAACGTCGTAAATGTATCCCGAGATGGGCACGTCCAGCACGAGAGGACTCTTCTTCAGCACCTGAATATCGTCCAAAACACTCTGCTTCACATCGCCAAATGGGAGGAACGAGATGTGGTCTACATCCTCGCCCAGGTCCTTCCGAACCTTGGCGCGCAGTTGCTCGTCTGAAAACGTGAGCATGCCGCAGTCAGTCTATTTTTTTTTTGTTTTTCAACACCGTCAGGACATGGACCGTGGGCGGCAGCATTTGGAGGCCCTTACATGATGGACGATGACAATCTCCCGGGTCCCTAGCAGCTGCTGCGAAATGACGACCGAGCGAAGCGCATCGATGGTACGACCTCCCGCATTCCGGATTACGTGGGCGTCGCCTTCAGAGAGGCCGAGGGCTTTGGCTGGATCGAGTCGCGCATCCATGCATGCGACGACGGCGACCTTGCTATTGAGGGTCAAAAATAGGTTTTCTCTGTTGACCAATGCCAAAAAAAAAGAGCCTGCTTACCGACTGGGCGGCAAGGGCAAGGTTCCCTTGTCAAAAGTTGCCGCGTATCGCTGGTTAGCTGCCTCGAGTTCCGTACTGGCAGGCATGGTTTCAGACGATGGCTGTCAAGCGTAAATTAATTGCACCCAAATGTATTTCTCGATAGCGAGCTCCATCAGGGTTCGTACTTGCAGCTTGGACTTATATATCCCACGACCAAATGCCCTTGCTATTCGATCTTCGGCGCGGGGTATGCCAAAGTCGCCATCTCAAACGCTTCTGTCGCAATGCCATGCAGACTTTTGTCTTGGGGCCGAGCCAATGGGAACACCACCAAAACGCCCTTGTGTTGGACTAGTTTTGGTAGAAATCCCAGACAGGCTCAGCGCCCGCAGGTCGACGGTGGCCGAAGCAGTTTTGTGGGCAGAGGTCGTGCTAGGACGAGTGCATGTCGGCAATGCTGCACATGTGGTGATAAATGCCACGTGCTTAAATCTAGTGCCGCATAGCGTGAGTTTCCGTGTTGGGGTTTGCCATCTTCACTCGTTGAAAGGCTAAAGACTCGTAGTGGATTTCGCATTGGCAACTCCTGCCTCAAACTGCATTGGCGTTTTGCTCGTGTATGCCCGAGACTTGGCCAAACATTGTCGAAGGTATTCCGGATCGAAGGCCACGTTGGCAGAGGTATGCCTTGCTCTCCATATAGCTTAAACGAGTGCAATATTACTAGAAGCATGTCAGAAAAAACTTGTTTTATATTTGTCCTGTCAGCCCCGTGGTGGAACACGGGGTATGACCGGGACAGGGCTTGCATTTCTTCCCCTGATCCTTGTCGTGGTTGATTCAATGTTCAAGACAGCGGAGTGATTGTGACATCTTAGGAGCCCGCAGTTTTGCACCGTTGTCTGTTTCGCTGAACGTCCAATAGCCATGTCGGAGCACGCGCAGTCCGATCCGTCTGTCATGGTCCAGCTTCAATCAATGTTCCATGCTGGTACAGAAGCTTTGCCGCCTCACCTTTGCCAGGTGTGCGCGGACATGACGGGCTCAGCGGCGGGTTTGTCTGCCTTGATTTCATCACAGGGCTACCACCACAGCACAGTCCCGCAGGTTCGACAAGCCGCTGCGGGAGGTTGCATGTTCTGCAGCACAGTATTGGACATGGTATTGACTGGCCACTTGTACAGTCGCATCCCCGGCCAAGCTGCCAAACGTCTGCAACTAGACGACACCGTCAGAGCATTGGTACGGAGCCAGGTGAGTCAAACGGCCCAATACGACAATCATGGTCTCAAGGCGCCAGTTGTGCTTCTGGAGGCCATCATTGTAAACTGGGTATACCAGGGACAAGTGTGTGACTTTCATGTACTTCGAACAAAGGTTGGCTTCTACATGGACAGGCCTATTGTGTTTGGAGCATTTACAAATGCTGCCGAGCCTGTCCAGATTTGCCTGGTGGAATCGGCAGGTAAGTCAACGGCAATGCTGGAGTTTCTGCACTTCCTGGCTTGACGAGATTTAGGTAACCCTGTGATTCTCTCCTTCAAACCGCAACCTTTGTCGATATCCACTGTCAGTGATGACATGGTTGAGGGATATATGCGACTGCTGAAAGAATGCACAACTCATCACTCGTCCGCTTGCCCCCCGGACGTGGAACATCTCCTACCCCTTCGCGTTATTGACGTTGACTGTCCGGGGACGCCGATGAATATTGGCCTCGTTAACAACGGCAATGTTCCCCGGTATGGCCGGTACACTGCGCTGAGTTATTGCTGGGGCAAACCTCCACATGTGTTTAAAACTACAACGTCCGTGATGCAGGACCCTTCCCTAATAGATTGGTCTACCGCGCCTGGTACCATCTTAGATGCCATCACCATCACCCGAAGACTTGGGATACGATATCTTTGGGTAGATGCTGTATGCATCCTGCAAGACGACGAGGACGACAAGACGACTCAAATCAAGGACATGGCGCGGATATATAAGAATTCTGCCGTGACAATTGTTGCTGCGAGCGCATCCGGCGTGAATGAAGGGTTCATCAGGGACAAGTCAGTCAAGAGCATCGCCTTTCCAGTAAATGCCATTGATCCTACTCGCAATACGGTGCTGCATGTTGGAACACTCTGGGTCCACGCAAACACTCCCGATGAGCCTGAAGAACCTGTCGATTCCCGGGGCTGGACGCTTCAAGAATCCCTTCTCTCTCCGCGAATTTTATACTACGGCTCCAAGGACGTAATCTGGAAGTGCCAAGCAAAGCCATTCCAGCCCGTCGTCGGGTCACATAACCTCTACAAACCCGAAGGCATGCGACGACTGCCTTCCATCATATTCGGCATTCAGCTGCCAAGCACGCAGTCTCCTTTGGGCCACTGGCCACACATAATGTCGGAGTATTCCAGGCGGAAACTGAGCCTGGATGTGGACAACTTCCGTGCCATAGGCGGCATCGCAGAGGAGCTTCAGATAGCATCGGGCGACACATACATTGCCGGGCTGTGGAAGAACAACATGGCCAAAAGTCTTGCGTGGTTCCGGACGGACAGGACTGTGCCAAGGCAAGCACATGATTCTTCCTTCAGGAGACCGACGTGGTCTTGGCTCACTACTCTGTTCCCTGTCGCACAGATCGGTATTGAAGCAGATGCTGGCAGCGGTGAAAGAGTTGAACTCCTACGCTGGTCCGTAGAATTAGCGGACACGACTGCCCCCTTTGGCCATGTCATTGGAGGAGCTCTGGAATTGTCTGGCCAGGTGATCAAAGCATCAGACATACCACTGGCTGTGATTTCCACCATGACGGTGATGCTAGACTCTGGAGTATCTGACGATGATGATGAGCAAGCAGGCAGGTTCGTCGGCGACGAGTACTACTACTTGCTACTTGGAAATTGTGGAGAGGGAAAGGACAGAATAATCATGCTGTTGCGGGAACTCGTCGATGGAACGTTTGTGAGATGTGGCGTTGCGCATTTGGATGCGAACAAAGCGCTATCTATATGGGAAACGGAGAGGGTTCGCAGGACAAAGGTTACGTTGGTGTAGATGTGAAACAGGCCGAGCGACCATCACAGTAGCAAAATCTTGCATGCAAGGCAATCTGTACTTGTCTCTATGCCCATCCAGACCCTGGCATGAGTAGGGCACTCGCGCTCAATACTGAAACAGCCGCGCACTGCTATTACTCCGGCTTCTCGTGTCGGGATGGCCCTATCTTTATCCGAAGATGCAGGCATACAATCCTCAATATTCAGATAAAGAACATGATATGACATCCTACAAAGTAAAAGCTACATAAACATACATGGCGGCCCTTATTACGACTGTATTCCAATACCCAGCGAATCACAAGCTGGAGCGGTTTGGCGAATTTGTTCACCATTTCTTATGTACAATCTACCTGGTACACTTTCGATTAGCTCGAGAATTCCTCTCATCGTCGCCTGGTCACCTCTTGAAAGGCTAGAGTCGCAGATAGCAGGGGGGTATAGCGGCGTCATCTCTCAACCAGTCACCCTTGGGCCTAGCCTAGTATAGTGAGGCATCGATATTCCAGGTGCTAACAGCGATTTGGAACTCTACGACAAATAGCCAGCTTATGTACTTCATGAAGCCGCTATAAATGGAGTCTCCTGATTAAGCATTTCCTTATACTAGTATCATACGTATCCAATAATCCCACGTGTATGATCGACTTGGGTGAAGACATGCGATTATCCCATATGATGCATTGGGGTTTAAGAGATCAGCACTAGTTTTCTGGTGTCAATTGACCATGTTGGAATTTTGCATCAATTCTTGATGTGCCATTTATGTAGACCCACTGCTAGAGGACTGGGTTCACTGAAAAGACTGTGCGTACCTGATCTGCGTCCGCATGGATTTATATTTTGTAATTTCTTGTCACGCCTTTGACGGAGCCCTTCCAACTACGTGGTGGTAGTTGAGTTCCCATAGCCCTCGGAATCGCCAAGATATTCCATCTTGCCTTGATAACGACCTTGATGGCCGTCTGATCTTCTCCATTGTAAGCGGTCAGCTGTATCAAGGACTCAGTATAAGAGGGCTTGGAGTACTAATTCAATTCATCTTTAATAACAGTCTTTGGTATCAAGGTCCGTGATTTTCCTCAAGAGTTAAATAACAAAGAACTCTATTTATACAAGAAGACAGCGGGAGCATTCAACTGTACGATCCGTGATTGTAGCTCTCATGTGACAGTGTGAGAACTTGTCGCTGCTATTGTGTCTCATGCCAGCCCTTTGGTGGCCTAGCAGCTGTGATAGGGAAGATTGGACTTGCGGTCCAAGTAAAGTGTTGGAGCCACCACGTTCTAGGATGACCGATTTCCTGACGGGAATGTCCTTTATTATTGTACCTAAACTCGAGAAAATTTGACATGAAAACATAAAAAAAGCAATGAACTGTTTTGAGGTTCGCAGTTTAAACGATACGAGCTTCGTCCGACCACGAAGGAGACGACAGGAACCTCGAAAAAGGATTTGCCGCAAGTTGGTTAGTAGAGGATTTTCGCTGTATAAAACAGGCCTGAATGGAGTATAATACAACGAACCTGCTATCCTGAAGATTAGCTAAAGCGGCATACCAAGCAAGAAAGACAGTGACAGAACCAATTATGCTGCCAATCTTCTGAAAGCAGAAGCGGTATTTGGATAATTCGCATGGTTCGCATGAGCCTCGCAAGAGAAGAGTCGATGTACTGTATTTGGAGTGGAAAAGAGCGGGAAGGACACAAGCATTGGCAGAAGTGTGCATAGAAGGAGTGTAGTAAGATCAACCACCCGGTTAAGGATAATCCTAGACTGGCGAAATTTCCTGCATTTAATGCAATTGGTTGAATGATACCCCAACTAGGGGTCTAAAGAGTGCCATATAAAATCCAAAAGCCGCCATAGAAACATAAAGCGGTAGCCCTTAACATATTACTAGAGGCAAACTTCCTAGTGTAATAGTTTTCTAAACAAACTGAGGGGGAAGGGAATGCTACTTACCACATGCGAGCCAATAGTGTTTACGAAATATAAGGGGGTATAGTTGCTATTCAATTAGAGAGCGTTCTTTTTTCGTGACAAATAGTTGAACCAGGCCGTCGTACGTGAGCGCTAGGGAGACAGTTATATTAGGTCCCTTGGTATTTTTACTGTAAAGGTGAGAGGCAGCGAGGACGAAAATTATTAATGCAAAGGCGCATATACTAACTGGAGCTAGATTGCCGAATTTTCGCTGCTAACAAGACTTCCATAGTTGCTTTTTGCTAAACCTCTCGAGGCGGGAATAAAACCTGGAGGTGGGTGGTAGGACTGATTTTGAGGAGCACCAGTAACGCTGTATGACCCCCAGTTAACGGCAGTGGTACGCATAATAATGTCTTGTGTGGCGAATTTTCTGAAAGAGACTAGTAAGACTAGGTAGGTCCGGTGGTTTTGCAATGTACAGAGGATTCCAGCTGGGTACTGCACTATGGAAAAGCAATGTTAATAATATAACAACGAGAGTAGGCAAAGTAGTTCGTGGAGATGTTGAGACGGCCTGCTACTTCTGTAAGCTCCCAATAAATATAAACTGGCAAAGTAAAGGGAAAACTAAATTAGGCATAGTGAGGACTTTAAAGAGAGGGTCAAGGTCCTATTACAGGCAAGTGCAGGAATACGACGTCGAATGTGTGGTTATTAATATAATAACTGATATTTCCTTTCACTATACGGCTCATAAATCTTTCCGCAGGCACCAAGATTTGAGGCATTTTGCCCAAGTCCAAAGTAAGGAGTCGTTCTCCATGCAATATGTTTGATTGGTAGAGGAGCAGGGACGACACCGACACATGGCCATTTTTACGTGTCCATGCGCGAGGCCTAAAGATACCGAAAACAAGAGTCCAAAATCGCCCTACGCCCAAGCTTCACCAACATGACAAGCTCTATATTGACAAAGCCTTCTATCACGGACTCTCGCATGATAAAGCCTTGTATGATGAACTCTTTCATGACAAACTCTTATTGACAAGCTTTAGTAGGAGACCTTTTCGTCATAATACTGCTCTTTTCGAGGAGTATAAATAACCGTTATGCCTCAAGTGCTAGTATATACAACGCCTTGCATACAACCTCTTAACATCAATCACTTAATTCGAATAAAAATGCACCCTTGATAACTTTAATACTTGAAAGACATACACTGTAACATGTCAACCACTTTAGATTTTCGTCCCGGCTAATAAGCTATATGCTACATGATTTGGTAACAAGGCAGATCTGCCTATGCCCCCTTCCCGGTATGTGTTCTCTAAATACAGCTTGTTGAAGAATTTCCATGTGTGAAGCATAAGGTTTATTAACATTCCTGAAAATATATAGAAAGATTGCTGTGATAACCTGCATGGATGCTCTCCTCAACCCAGCCGATTTCTGAGGGCTCGCTCTGGATGATACCCATGTGATGAGAAACGGCGGGGGAAGAGTGGAAGACGTGATTCGCTCCATTATCATCTCTCAATATATGCTTGGGACGCGAGAGATTGCCATTATCCATCATTTTTATGCCGTATGGTGCTCTGGGAGAGCCTGAAATACAGCAAGTGTGGCGTATTTCTACTCTGTTATGCTTGCCAACTTAGAACCAGAGGGAATGTAGAATAGCTACCTTTACGGGGGATCAACTCCGTATCATTGTCAAGAAGGGCGCCTGGCAGCAAGACAGTTGCGGGAGCCATGGACGAAATTGACTTTCTCGAGCTTCAGGATGCCTTTGTTAGCGTGAAGGGTGTATGTGTGTATGTGACGTGGAATTGCTGAAGCATCACCGTCTCATTCTAAAAGACGGTTATCACTGGTTGGATTTATGAAGTCGAGACAGGGAGATTTCTTCATGTTGTGTAATATCTATACTCCTATTCTCGAGACGGAAAAAAAGCCAAGGAAGATAGTCAAAATGAGCACATGGGGCTTTTTTTGAGTTAAATACAACTCACTTACCTAGTAGTTACCCTATATCTTAGGAACTTGTAGTTTGACATATTTTTGTCCGGGCTTCAAGACTGGTACTAACTGCTCCTGCACGTAGGCATTACTAAAGATGATGGCAAATTCAAGGAGAACAGAGAAGGAAAATTCCCTTGACTCGATTCCTTGTCGCTAGCTTTTATTCCATTCTTTCTCCGAAGCACCCCTGAAGCGAGCCCGAAGCGGGCCGGGAGAGTCTCAGGGGATTACCATTACAGACCCGAGCTCTAGACTTGAGCCCAGAATATGGTGATAACTATTCTATATCATGACTAAGGTAAAAGATGAGAACGTGCCAAGTGGAACAAGCCGTGGTACGTGCAGCCTGGAACTAGGTTTACGGGATCAACAGATATTTTAGATTCTCCACTTGAGGTCCGTGGTACCTGCTTAGTCTTGGTCAACTCGGAGATACATTTTCTTGGAAACGTCCCCGGAAAAGCCTAGCCTTTTGACTTGTTCAAAAGGACCTGGTTGGTAATACTTTGCCCGGCAGTAGTGGAGGGACGTTATACTGTCGCACAGGATAACAGCAACTAAGGCGCCCTGCTTACAGGTGACGTACAGTCTCCCCCTGAATGTTTCTTCAGGCGTCCCTGTCGGGGTAGCTACAAGCAAAGGGTGGTGCACTATCTGTGATCTATATATTCTAGGTGGTAAAGTGTCGAAAGGCTTGTAGGGATTTATAATCAAGACCTGAGCTAATCAAGATCCCTTGGGAAATCTCAGGCATCTTTATGCGCTTATATCTTCCTCTTAACCGACTCGCGGAATTCCAACGAGACCCCGTTAATATTTGTTGTGCGTTCATGTTTGAGTTTGCGGTGTGAGTCACCGGCATAAAGTATATTTTGCTCCAGGCAGTTAACGGCTGAGGCGATCTCGCGATAATCTTCGCCGGGGCGCGCTGTGATGAATCACCAATCGGCTAGTGTGTCTAACGCATCGCGATGCGTTCATGGTGTCTTGCGTGGTAAGTTACGGATCCCTGGCATAGGTACGGATAGAACACAGTGTTACTAGATG